TTGTATATTTTTGAGATTCATCCTTTGTCTGTTGCTTCATCGAATCAGAGGTTTAATCTTTTCTGGCTACACACCCAGGAGTGGGGTTGCCAGATAACAAGGTAACTCTAGCTATAAAGTTTTTAAGGAACCTCTATCCCATTCTCTGCAGTCGCTGCCTAAGGTGCTTTTTTATGTGGACAACATGCTTTCATCTGATTATTATGAAATTCTATCTTGTGTACATTGAGTAAATTTTAGAGACTTTCTAATTTTAAAACACCTAATCCTGGGTGATTCATGTCAATGTATGGCAAAAATCACTACAATATTGTAAAGTAATTAGCCTCCAACTAATAAAAATAAATGAAAAAATTAAAAATAAAAAAAAAACACCTAATCCTACAGAAAACTACTTCTCTGAGAAAGATGCTCAGAGATCTAGAATGAGGAAAGAATGGACTATTCAGTAGAGCTTGCAAGAAGCCTGGCCAGGTAACCAACTCCTCCTTCATCTCTACTCTGGGGGCTCCCATTCCAGTGGTAGGAATACTCCAACAAGAAAAGGTGGTCTAAAATTTGTCTCTGATCAGAAGCCACAGATGATACTTTCTCTGCTCTGGTCCAACAAATTAGTTTAACTTAGTTTCATGCTGGTTACGGATGAGGGCATGGGCTTTGTTTCATTCTTGGCCAGCTAAGAAGTTCATTTTACTGCCAAAAGTGTTTGCTGCCCTGGTTCACTATTGGCCAGGTAGAATAATTCATGATTGGTTAAAATAAAAGATGGGGTTTTCCAGGTGGTGCTAGTGGTAAAGAACCCACCCGTCAATGCAGGAGATATAAGAGATGTGGGTTCGATTCCTGGGTCAAGAAGACCATTGGAGGAGAGTGTGACAATGCACTCCAGTTATTCTGCCTGGGAAATTCCATGGACAGAGGAGCCTGGTGGGCTATGATCCATAGGATTGCCAAAAGTTGGACATGACTGAAGTGACTTAACATGCATACAAAATAAAAGCCGACCTGACTTTCTAGAACAGATCCAGATGGAATGGGACTGATTTCATGGCCTGGTTTTGAACTCTAGACTCTTTCCTTTGCAACCTATTAGTAGGAATGATAATTATTTTGCTTCTAGTAAGAACTTGTATTCTGTCTGATCCTAACTGCTACTGTGCAGCCCTAATCTTTTAAAATAATTCAGCATCTCATCTTGCAGGCAAGGGCACATGAGACTAACCAAAGTGGAGAAGCAGACCATGTTCTCCAGATAACCATGTGGTCATTGGATTCTGATGATGCGATAGAGCAAATCTGGACTCTGTCAATAAATGTCCTTTATCCAAAAAAGGAGACTGAAAATTAAAAAACAAAACAAAACAAACAAACAAAACAGACCCACGAATTGCAGCAGGAAGCTGGCAGATAAACTCTAACATTTCCTACCAAACATAAATATCTCCTGCAGAATGTTTCACCAGTCAAGACCAATCAGTGACTGTGATGAAAGAGGTGTCAAAGGACCACTTACTTGGTAACTAGGTTTGAAACCAGACAAAGAAATGACATTCCGCAATCAAGACCAAGCAATCTCCTTGCTTCTGAAAAATTGTCAAGATAACCACAAATTGCCCCATTGTTGTAATGCTGGCTCGGCTTATCTAAATACTCTTAGAGTCATACAGCTGAATCTTATGATAGGCTCCCTCCCACCCATCCTAGAAAGAGGTTCCGTGTTCCTTTCTCTCAATGCAGGAGACTAAACAGCCTACTTTATTGGCTGACATGACCCTATGGTCTGGAGGTTTGTGCACCTCACAACTCACACATTGATTTACAAACCTCTAAGGCCATGGTATTAGAGGTGGGGCTTTGGGAGGGTTCTTCCTGATGAAGAGTATGAAGGTCCTTCCGAGGGACCCCAAAGGGCTTGCTTGCCCTGTCAGCCACATCAGGACACAGTGAAAAGGAGGCTACCTGTGAACCAGGGAGATCTCAGTTCAGTTCATTTTCTCAGTAATGTCCGACTCTTTGAATACCAATGGACTACATCATGCCAGGCTTCCCTGTCCTTCACCAACTCCCAGAACTTGCTCAAACTCATGTCCATCGAGTCAGTGATGCCATCTAACCATCTCATCCTCTGTCGTCCCCTTCTCCTCCTGCTTTCAATCTATCCCAGCATCAGGGTCTTCAAATGAGTCAGTTCTTCACATCAGGTGGCCAAAGTATTGGAGCTTCATCTTCAGCATCAGTCCTTCCAATGAACACCCAGGACTGATCTCCTTTAGGATGGACTGGTTGGATCTCCTTGCAGTCCAAGGGACTCTCAAGAGTCTTCTCCAACACCACAGTTCAAAAGCATCAGTTCTTCTGTGCTCAGCTTTCTTTATAGTCCAACTCTCACATCCATACATGACCATTGGGAAAACCACTGCTTTGACTAGACAGACCTTTGTTGGCAAAGGGATGTCTCTGCTTTTTAATATGCTGTCTAGGTTGGTCATAGCTTTTCTTCTAAGGAGCAAGTGCCTTTTAAATTCATGACTGCAGTGATTTTGGAGCCCAAGAAAATAGTCTGTCACTGTTTCCACTGTTTCCCCATCTATTTGTCGTGAAGTCATGGGACTGCATGCCATGAACTTTAGTTTTTTGAATGTTAAGCTTTAAGCTAGCTTTTTCACTCTTCTCTTTCACTTTCATCAAGAGACTCTTTAGTTTCTCTTGGCTTTCTGCCATAAGGGTGGTGTCATCTGCATATCTGAAGTTACTGATATTTCTCCTGGCAATCTTGATTCCAGCTTGCAATTCATCCAGCCTGGCATTTCGCATGATGTACTCTGCATATACAGTAAATAGGCAGGATGACAACATACAACCTTGATGTACTCCTTTCCCAATTTGAAATCAGTCTGTTGTTCCATGTCCAGTTCTAACTGTTGCTTCTTGACCTGCATACAGATTTCTCAGGAGGCAGGTCAGGTGGCCTGGTATTTCTACCTCTCTAAGAATTTTCCACAGTTTGTTGTGATCCACACAGTCAAAGGCTTTGGCATAGTTAACAAAGCTGAAGTAGATGTTTTTCTGGAACTCTCTTGCTTTTTTGATTATCCAACGGATGTTGCCAATTTGATCTCTGGTTTCTCTGCCTTTTCTAAGTCCAGCTTGAACGTCTGGAAGTTCATGGTTCATGTACTGTTGAAGCCTGGCTTGGAGAATTTTGAGCATTACTTTGTTGGCATTTGAGATGAGGGCAATTGTGTGGTAGTTTGAACATTCTTTGGGATTGGTATGGAAAGTGATCTTTTCCAGTCCTGTGGCCACTGCTGAGTTTTCCAAATTTGCTGGTATATTGAATGCAGCACGTTAACAGCATCATCTTTTAAGATTTGAAATAGCTCAACTGGAATTCCATCACCTCCACTAGCTTTGTTTGTAGTGATGCTTCCTAAGGCCCACTTGACTTCACATGTTAGGATGTCTGGCTCTAGGTGGGTGATCATACCATCATGGTTATCTGGGTCATGAAGATCTTTATTTGTATAGTTCTTCTGTGTATTCTTTCCACCTCTTCTTAATATTTTCTGCTTTTGTTAGGTTCATACCATTTCTGTCCTTTATTGTGCCCAGTTTTGCATGAAATGTTCCCTTGGTATCTCTAATTTTCTTGAAGCGATCTCTTGTCTTTCCCATTCTATTGTTTTCCTCTATTTCTTTGCGTTGACCACTGGGGAAAGCTTTCTTATCACCCCTTGCTATTCTTTGGAGCTCTGCATTCTAATAGGCATATTTTTCCCTTTCTTCTTTTCTCAGCTATTTGTAAGGCTTCCTCAGACAGCCATTTTGCCTTTTTGCATTTATTTTTCTTGGGGATGGTCTTGATCACTGACTCCCATACAATGTCATGAACCTCTGTCCCTAATTCTTCAGGCACTCTGTCTATCAAATCTAATCCCTTAAATCTATTTGTCACTTCCACTGTATAATTGTAAGGGATTTGATTTAGGTCAAACCTGAATGGTCTAGTTGTTTCCCTCACTTTCTTCAATTTAAGTCTAAATTTGTCAATAAGCAGTCCATGATCTGAGCCACAGTCAGCTCCCAGTCTTGTTTTTGCTGACTGTATAGAGCTTCTCCATCTTTGGCTGCAAAGAATATAATCAATCTGATTTCAGAATTGACCGCCTGGTGATGTTCATGTGCAGAGTCAACTCTTGTTGGAAGAGGGTGTTTGCTATGACCAGTGTGTTCTCTTGGCAAAACTCCGTTAGCCTTTGCCCTGCTTCATTTTGTACTCCAAGGCCAAATTTGCCTGTCACTCCAGGTATCTCTTGACTTCCTACTTTTGCATTCCAGTTCCCTATAATGAAAAGGACATCTTTATTTTTGGCTGTTAGTTCTAGAAGGTCTTGTAGGTCTTCATAGAACCGTTCAACTTCAGCTTCTTCAGCATTACTGGTTGGGGCCTAGACTTGGATTACTGTGACATTGAATGATTTGCCTTGAAAAGGAACAGAGATCAGTATGAAAAGGAAGATCTCACCAGACCCCAAATCTGCGGATGCCTTGATCTTGGACTCCCAGCCTCCAGGAATGTGAAAAAGACATGCTTGCTGTTTACGAGCTCCTAGTTGATGGCATTTTGACACAGTGAACAGTCTAACACAGTGCCTGTCCAAAACAAGGGAGGCCACTTGAAAACTTCTGCTTCAGAACCTTCTACCTCTCAACCCTGCCCTGGGTCACACCCAGCATATCTGCTCCAAGATCTTTTCAGATTAGAATGAAGATAACTTTTGACATGGGCATCAGAGAAATAAACACAGATCAGATAATTCAATTAGGGTGAAGGGACTGGGAAGAGCACACAATGAGTTGGGAAGGATTTTCTTGAGAGCTGTGGGTGGGGCCACCCCTCTGCAGAGTGGGTTGTTTAGAGACAATATTTAGTGCAGCCCTGGGTTTTTCCTGATTCCTCTAAGTCATGCTAGGGTAAGTTCCTGAATTTCCTGCTTCAGAGTCAGCGGGGAGAGTAGCACATGGAGCTCAAGCCGCGGCGGTGGACGGTGCCGGAGCACTTCGCCTTCCCTTTGGAATTTTCATGGAAGAGGACCAGGAAGAGCTCATCTTGGGTGGGGGGTCCCTGCCCTGCCCCCTCCTCTTCTCCATTTCCCTCCCACCCCCTCCCCAGTATATCCCAGGGCCCTCCCGCAGCTCATCCCCCTGCCCCTCCTCCCTCTTCTCCGCGGTCCTCAGGCCCCCTCCTCCAGGTCACCTGGCCCTTGACCTACTCCGCCTCGGGGCGCACAGCCAGACCTTCATCCAGCTGGAAAAGGGCTTCGCAGCCACGGGCCTGATGCTCGTCCTCCTCATGGCTTCGCTGGAGTCACGGCAGCTGGGACCCCGAAAGCCGGGGCCGAGGTGGGTGACCTCGGGGAACTCAAGGGTGGAGTGTCCGGCATCTCGGGTTTCTCGAGGGTCGCCTGCGTTGCTGGGTGTCCGGGTGCCCCCTTCCCCCTGCCTCCCAGGCTCCGGGGAAGGGGGTGCCGTCGGGGAGGGATAGAAAAAGCCCAGGAGATGCAGACTGGGAGGGGTGGAAGCCCTGGGCCGGGGACACCCTCAAGGTCCACTCGGGGCCCCGGCCGGGGGGGTCCGGCCTCACCACGCTTTCCCGGCAGGCCTCGAGCCGCTGCAGCTGGTCCAGAGCCAGCTCCTGACCACCCGCAACCTGGCCGCAGCCTCCGCCATCCTCCTGGACCCGCGGGGCCTGTTCCCGTCCCACCAGGGAGGGGGCTCCGTCTCCCTTAGGCCCTCCAGGCCTGCCTTACCGAACGTTTGGTTGCAGACCCCTTCAGAGTTCATCCTGTCCGTCAAAGGGTCTTGATCTCTGCTGGGCAGTCTAGAGGTGAGGCGAGATTTGGCTTCGGCAGCGGCATCTGAAGAAATACCCGATGGGCAGGACCTGAGGTGGCGTCCGTGGCTCATCTTTGGCCCTTGGAGGCGTTCTTGGCACATTTTGGGGATGCGCGGAGGCTCGGGTGGGAGAGAGTGGTCCAGTCCGCCTGCAGAGATCCAGTGAAACGAGTGGCCTCACGAGTGCGCTCCCTGTGGGGGAACGGGTTTGGCGCAGGAGGGCCTCTGGGCGGGTCTGTCCAGAGGGTGGCGGTCTCTGGGCGTGCGGCCCAGGGGAGGAAAAGGAAGCAGGAGAGGAAACTGCTCTCCGGGTTGGTCTGGAGGGGATGAAAACGGGGCCTTCTAGAGAGGGTCCTTTCCTACAAGGACCCTATCAGGTAGACACAGGAGGGCGGAGAGGAGGCAGTGCAGACAGAGGCAGAATGTGGTCCTCCCCTGTAGCCTGGGAGGCAGGCGATCAGGCGCTGTTCCCGATGACCAGCCGCTGGCGGTGAGACTGAAGGGCTCAAAATGTTTCTGGGAGCAAAAGAGCCCGAGGTCCCTTAAGACATGAATAAGTTGCCTAGCAGGGCTTCCTGTTTCCATTCCAGAACTTTCCAGGATGCCAAATCCACATTTGTAGCTTGACCACCCGTCTGGACTGTGACAGAACTCCAAAGAGTGAGTTTTGAGTGGTTTATGCCAATGATGGCACAAACCTGCTGTCAGGCTCAGGAAGGAGAACGGGGCCCTGCCTTAGTCTCACCAGCCATCAGCCAGGGGTTTTATATCCCCCTGGGTGCCCTCCCCCTTAGACGTGATCCGGGCGCTGTGTGCTGCCGCCTTGTGGACAATGAGAAGAACCACCGGTACTTTCCTCCCTGCCGGAGGCAGCAGGCAGGATGGGAACCTTAATGATGTCACAGAGCAAATTGTACTCTCCGTGGAGCTACCCACCTCTGACCTTCAGTTATGGTAGAGAATGGGATGTCCTCGGGTTTTCTCTAACCTGCAGCCAAACCCATCCTGATAGGTTGCCTGTGGTCGGGTGGTGAGGGTTAAATTAGGTTACACCTCGGAAGCATTTGTTGGTACAACACTGGGCAGTCACTAACCATGAGTTGCTATGTTTAAAAAAAAAATTTTTTTTTTTGGTGTTTTTTGATTTGCAATGTTATGTTAGTTTGCAAGTGTACAGCAATGTGACTCCATTTATATAATATATGGAGTATATATATATATAGACTTTTTCACAGTAGGTTATTATAGCTTATTGAACAGAGTTCCCTATGCTACCCAGTATGTCCTTATTTTTTTTTATTTTGTTTACAGTTGTGTGTACATGAGTTGCTATTTAAAGTCTGGAATCCCAAGACTGGAGGCCAGTTCTGGCTGTGTGCTTAGTATTGGTGGGATATAAAGAGAAGTGGGAAGCAGGAATGTGGTTTTTTTTCCCCTCCTGGGGAAGGGAGTTGAAACTCCCTTTTCTCCTTGGAACTCACAGGGACATGTGAGCAGTCAGGCCTCCTGGTGAAAGGGCCAAGCCTAGGTCTGGGTACCACCTATAGGATCTGAGCCCACTTGCTGGGGAAGGCGGGAGGGACAGAGGGGAAGGATGCTGAGGCCTGGGGGAAGGGACAAAAGAGGGGATGCTGCTCGCAGTTCTGAAGAAACATGATTACTCACTATTTGGCATTCATTAATTTCTTCTTGATTCCCCTTTGGAAAAGCCCAGAGACCTTTGGGAGAAGTGACAGATCAAACCTGTGACACAGAGTGAATGAAGGATGACGGTCACACCCTTCTTGAGAGAAAGGCCTCTGATGATAGGGGTTGGAAGTGGCTGAAAGCAGAGAGACCAGGACACTCTTGTCCATTCAGGGTTCTCGAGCACCTCGGCCTGCGGGGCCTGGTGGGAGGACCTTGGGGGATATTGTGAGATGCACCCCCCACCCCCAACCCAAGATTTGTCTGGGGCATTGCAGGTGACTCTGGATCCAAGTGAGACACTCGGAGCTGATGCTCAGGGCAGGAGATCCAGGTTGGAAGGGGTCCCTGCATTAGGAGTGGAGGTCACGGATGGGACCACCTGGGGAAGGAGTGGGGGGCAGAGAAGGGAGAGGCTGGTGATGGGATCTGGGAACCCTGACTATGGAGCAAAGAGAAGAAGGAGCTTGGGCTAGTGACTCGGGCTGACTGACCCACAGAATCAGAGACAAACTTGGGAGCAGTTTTAAGAAGAAGGAAGTGTTTGCATCGCTGGTCACCCCAGAAAAGCCAAGAGGGAAGTGCTGCTAGGCAGTCATGCTGACCAGGGCAGAGCTGGCTGTCTGTGGGCTGGGCAGATGTGGTTTGACTGTCTTGCTGGCTGGGGGACAGATGCTGGGAAATGGAATTACCTTCCGCAATGTATCGATTGTTGGTTCTAAAGGGAAGGTGAGATGTGGAGATGAAGAGGAAGGTGAGTTCTTGACTTTGCTGGTTTGGGGAAGGCTCCTTTCTGTTTACAGGGGAAAAAATTGACAGGGAACTGACACAGACGTGACGAAAGAGGGGTTGGGATCCAGAGCACAAGAGCTAGTCTTCACCGGGTATGGGTTTCCATCCTGGAATGGCAGAGGCCTCCCCACCCCAAGTCCTGAAAAGAGGGGTGGTGCTGGATCGTGGCCCAAGGGCTTTGGTGAGGACGTTCCAGTGCTCAACAGCATCTGTTGATCTGGACTGCATTTGGTGTGAGGTTGTCACCGCCCACTTGGGGGCTGCACCAGGGGAAGGAGTGAACACCCAGTTCCTGGGGTCACAGGGTGGGCAGGGGTTGGCAGGGCAGGAAGGCAGTCACCCTCTTGAAGGCAAAGGAGAGGAAAGGTGAAGCAAGTGATGGACAGAGATGAGCATCACTAAAAAAGGAGAAAGCTAATAGGCGAGAAGAGGAGGAAGCAGGTGACCGTGCGTGGGAATCCTGGACCCCGAGGCTTACCTACCCCCAGAGCACACTGGACTTGAACTAGGCAACAAAACCATGATAGGGATGAAGTAAGTGGTGGAAACAGGTGAAGATATATGTCACACCAGTATGCCTTTGAGTTATCTATTTATTTATTTATTTGACTTCCAAAGCAGTGCATGCACCTATAGTTTGCTTTGAAATGTAGTGAAAACGTCAGTAACTTGGAGTTAGGTAAACCAGAGGGTGAAGTCTTATTTTAATTAATTGAATTTTTTTAAAAAAATTAAAGAAGCAATTGAAGTGGTTGAAACCAGGATGATGAAAGTAACCACTTCAAGGTCTGGGAATCTACTTGTACAAGTGATGATGGTAGAGTAATTGTATGTATATTTTGCTTTTAAGCTGGGGTGAGAGATGCTTTAAAATAGGTGTGAAAGTGTGTGAAAGCTGTGTACATTTTTGAGTTGGTCATGCAAGCACATTCCATGTTTACTTGTTAGTTTCACTACTAAATTTTACCTCCAGAAGGTGATGGAATAGACAGGAACCTGCCTGAGCCCGTCGGAGCCATGGGTCGGGGGGGGGGAGACCCCTCAGGTGGTACCCCTTCCCTCACCTCCCTCCATCTAAAGCATCTTTCTTAGTGCTTCCTTGCTTTGTGATCCAGGGTTCCAACATTCTGAGAAGTGAAAGTGTCAGCTGCTCAGTGGTGTCCGACTCTTTGCAACTCCACGGACTCTAGCCTGCCAGGCTCCTCTGTCCATGGAATTATCCAGGCAAGAATACCGGAGTGAGTTGCCGTTTCCTTCTCCAGGGGATCTTCCCCACCCAGGGATCAAACCTGAACCTAGGTCTCCCACATTGCAGGCCGATTCTTTACCACTTGAGCCACCAGGGAAGCACCCGACATTCTGAGCCTCCTTTCAAATAATTCCACTGGAATTCATCGTGGACACAGTGCAAAACTGCCAGTGGAACAGGAGGTTGATTTTTTTTTTTTTTTTTAAGGCAGAAGGGTAAGATCCCTCTGGAGAGTGCCTCGCCCAGCCCCCACCCTCTCAGCTTCCTTGGTGGGCTCAGACAGTAAAGACTCTGCCTGCCATGCAGGAGACCCAGGTTTGATCCCTGGGCCAGGAAGTCCCCTGGAGAAGGGAATGGCTACCTACTCACTCCAGTATTCTCGCCTGGAGAATTCCATGGGCAGAGAAGCCTGGCAGGCTACATACAGCCCATAGGTTTGCAAAGAGTCGGACACAACGGAGTGACTAACACTTTTCCACCCCCTCACTGGGCAGCACTGGATAGGTGTTAATGGCCATTCTGAGCAGCTGGGGGTCCAGCATTTGGGCCCGTGCTGGTTCCCACTTCTTATCACTTGTTTGGCAAACCCTTTTATTATAGTTAACACAGGGCTCACATATGCTGGCATCTGCTTTGATGTATCAAATAAAAATGTATAAAAATATACAAAAATAAATATTCAGTATGATATAAAATTAATTTTTCTTATGATACCCTAAACAACATTTGCAAATCTTTCCCATCCCAGAGTATCGATGATTTCTTCATTGACCTTGTGAAAAGATAATTTTTTTTTTGGCTGTACCATGAGGCATGGAGAATCTTAGTTCCCTGACCAGAGATCGAAACTGTGCCCCCTGCATTGAAAGCATGAATTCTGCAAAAAAGATTATTTTTATTTTCAACTCCAAATCTGCTTGATCTACTGGGACCCAGTCAGTTCAGAACCAACCAGTTGGTACCAGATGAAAGTAGTCACACTAACTGTTTATAGACATCTTTTTAATGTTGTACTTTAAAACAAATAATCCCGGTAAAAGAAAGCAAAGGAAATTACATTTGAATGGTAGCTTGAAATGGATACACTATTCCTGATTTATTTGTTTTCAGGAAACAGAACTGCATTGTCATATGTGACTTCCAGAACTGCTCACTTAAATGTACATAATTAAATTAAGTTTCTCTTACAAAAACACAACCATGTCATTTTAAGGCAAAAAATATCAGCTTCTGGGGAGATAAGTTAACATTTACGGTATTTTCTCAATCTGGGTGAAGTGACCTATTCATTTAGTTGCTCAGTTTCATGATTCCTTGCAGTTTTGCTTTGCATACAAGCATGAGAATGAGTCACTTTGTGCCTGATTTCCTCCTCTCTGTGAGACTTGTTTTCTGGCAAATTAAGAACTTTCAGAATCACTGAGTCAAGGGGAGGTGAGAAAGGCACCTTAGAACAAGAGAGAAAGACTGAAAAACTCAATCGAGTGTCTTACTTTAAACAAAACTTGCTATCTACAGATGTTAATTTAGTTGAACAAAATGCAAACATTTAGATCAGACGGAGCAAAATTATTTTAGTGAACCTCGTAGAAGGGATGTTTGCCATGAAGCGCTAGCTTGATCAACCCTACGTACCGAAGGCGGCAGATGGCCGAGGCCTGAGAAAGCCAGCGGCTGATCAGCACTCAGCTAATTGTGCTTCGAGACACTGCCTGGGCCTGCCGGAAGGGGCTTTGCTAAGTGTAAGGGAGAGACCCCTCTCAGCTCCCCCGACAGGAACACAGCAGACACAGCCCTACAGCTTCACACAATACAGCTGGCTTTCGACATCCAAGAAGTTTTGTGCTGCAGTCAGACAGACACAGAACGGTCATGGCTTGGGCGTGTGAAAGCTCCTCCCAGCATGGTTTACCACATCGGGCTGTGATGAACCCTTGGTGACTGGTTTGGGTTTGTTTCTGAATCTTCCATCTTCAGCGATGCCAGATGGATTGGACTGTGTCTGAGGCCTAACGGGGCCTAAGGCGGGGTCCTTGATACATTCAGAGTTCCTGCTGCCAGTGGGGTTTGACCCGGACAGAGCGTGTCTGAGACTCATTGCTACCTGAAAGTTCCTTCCTCTTCTTCAAGTGATACCTGGAGACGGCCTGCTGGGCATGGTGGGGTGGGGTGTGTGTGTGTGTGTGTGTGTGTGTCTGGCTTTGGGTCAGTGGAGGGGTGTGTGTGTGTGTCTGTGTTCTCATGAACAACCTCCTTGGGAAGATGGATCACAGATTCGGAGACATGGGTAGATGAAATGCTGCATTTAATAATTGACTAAAATTTTATGTTTTGAAAATAAAAACAGTGGGTTAAAGAGTTTGAGAACATCTTTCAAACCAGAGTGTACATGTCTCCAGCAGCCAAGCAGACCCTGAAGAATGCACGCCAGGGGCATGTGCGAGGATCCAGGTGGGATGAGAGGAGGAAGCCTTCCAAATTTCAGTGCTTATCAGAAAAGGACAAGGGTTGAACTGTGTATAGGAGGTGGAGTGGAAAAGTCGCTTACTTGTGGGAGGGAGGCTGGTGAAGGGAGGCAGGGAGTCCACAGCCTGTGGAGGAGAAAGACAGGGGGTCTGAGGTGGAGAAAGCAGGCTGGGGAAGAGAGTTTGGGAGGGACTTGGCAGGCGTCAGGGCCTCGTCCCGCATTTGGGCAGCTGTTGACAGCCCTGGTCCATCCCCTGGCTGCTGGAAAAGTTATCCTGGAGGCAGCAATATCAGCCAAGGAGAAAACTCTTTCTAAGTCTTCCTGTGGCTGGAGTTTAATCCACCTGCTTTCTCACTTCCCCCTGGCCCTTGGGGTGCTGTTACCTTGGTTGAAATTCTGATGGTCTGAGGTCGCCAGTCTAACTGCTAACAAGTGGTCAGCTTGGCTTGCTTTCTGGTAGAGATATTTCTTAATTTGTTTCCCCTGGGCTTTTTAGCCACCATGCTCTATTATTCAGTGTTTTGATTTGCAGACCCTGCCAGGGTTACCTGGCTTCTGACTATATGAGCTTGTACCAGGAAACTGAATCAATCATTTTTCAGAGCGGGGGCGGGCAACATTCTTGGGGAGAATAGAAAATGTCCACTACAGTATAAAAAGTAAAGGAGGTTTAGTTTTAGCCTTTCATATGCAAAATGTATGACATAATAGCAAAACACATTCAGGGCATATTAAAAAATAAATACCTTGCAAAACTCTCTGCTCATATATAAGAATAAGGGGTGTTTAGGTAGTTGAATTCCCTAACAATATTTGTTTTCTAAAAAAAATCAAGTTCTTTTCTTTTGGTTTGTTTCCCTCCCTCTCATCACCCTGGAGCAGGGAGGTCGTTTTCTTGAGCATCACTGATTTCCCGGTGTTAGGATTCTTTCTGAGCCATTCCCATCTCCGTCTCATGTCTCCTCCTGGAGAGCCTGCCTGGCTATCAGCATAGTGGGAAGAGCCCCTCACACTGGCCTTCTGTAGGTGGCTTGCAGGCCTGGGCAGGGCCACTGCACACCGGTCAGCCCAGCCCCACGTACCATCCACTCCTTGGGACTCGGTTGCTCGCGTAGCAGCTGATAGAGCCGTCAGGGAATTTATTTCCATGAAGTCAAAGATGTCAAAGCGTCAGCCTATTCGCCCCACTGGCCCTGAATTTCATTATTTGCACATTTTCTAACTGAAGAACATTCTCGTCTTTAAAAAACAAAACAAAACAAACAAAACATGAAAATGATGTGCAAAATTGCTGGCCACAGCGTTAAGTCACCAAAAGCACACAGATTGACATTCAAATTACATTAATGATAAAATGGCTGGGTAGGACAGGTTGGCATCTACATCTTGAACAGGCAGCCGTGTCTGATACCCCGATTCTGTGTTACGGGTACCTTGTTAGCAGCTGTTGATGACGGTCACTGTGTCACGTGTACATTATGGCCGAATTTTGAAAATGAATTCTGCGTTTTATCGCCAGCAGAAATGCCTGACATCTGAAGGCGTCGACAGCCATCATTTCAAAACACAGAGCTGGATCTTCTAATGGACCTGACTCTGACGTTTCACACCCACCCCCCGCAGCATGAGCAGGGTCGGTGTCTCGGGATTCTTGACTCAAGGTACCTTACTGAGTGAGGGGCAATGTCGTACCCTGGAGTTCAGCATCCCCTAAACATGCATTTTCATGCAATTGAAAGATAACGGGCTTAGGAACTGCCTTTCATGTTCTTCCTGATTTCTGTGGGTTCAACCTTGGAGAAGGGCTTTCCAGAGAGTTCATGCAGCGATGTGTATGGCTAAGGGGCGGCCGGGCCCCGGGGTGGGGGGCACTCGGAAGCCTCATTTCAGCCTCACATGCGGCCGGCCCAGGGCATCGGCGCCCCCCGCCGCCGGACACGAGCTCTGAGATGATCGCGACCGTCCAGTCCTGAGAGAGTCCGGCGCCGGGGCGGGCTCCCGCGCCGGCGGCACCGCGTCCAAGGCGTCCGTCCCGGCGTCGTCCGGACCCGCCGCCTCTTCATCACTGATAAACAGCTTGGATTCCCGCCACTTGGGGTAAAGCTCCTGGCTGCCCCTGGAGCCGCTGGATTCGCTCCCCGCCAGCTGCACGTCCAGGTCCTCGGTGGACCGGGCCAGGTTCTGCGCCGACACCGAGCGGCCCGGGTCCTGGGGCACCGCGGGCCGGACCGACAGCAGGGCCGCCCCGCCCAGGTCCAGGCTCTGGCGCAGGGCGCGCTCCTTGGCTGGGAGGCGGTCCTTGGCGGCCGCCAGGCGGGCGCTGAGCTCGGGGAGCGCCTCCGGGGCGCCGGCGTGGGGCAGCGGCCCGAGCGCCGGCAGTGCGGCCGGTATCTGCAGGGTGGCGGGGGCCGCCGGCCGGGCCGCGCCCGCCGCCGCCGGCGGAGCCAGGCCGCGCGGGGCCGCCGGGCCGTCCCCCGGGCTCCCGGGCGCCGGCGTCGGCGCGGGGCTGAACGCGTAGAGCGCCTGGGCGCCCAGTTCGCCGGGCGCCAGGATGAGTTGCAGGCCCCGCGCCAGGCCCGCGCTGGCGGAGCGCGGGAGGCCGGCGCCCGGCGCCGGGCCCGAGAGGTCCCGGGCGTCGCCCGGGCTCTGGTAGTCCGACGTCTGTTCACATTCGAAGGGCGGGCTCGGGAAGGGGGCCAGCGCGAGGGCCGGAGCGGAGCCTTTCCGCAGCGCCTGCTGGTAGATGTCCAGCAGGCAGTCCAGCTTGGCCTCGATGGACTGGACCTGAAAGCGGAAAACGGGCACCTGTTCACAGGAAGCGGAAAACGGGCACCTGTTCACAGGAAGCGGAAAACGGGCACCTGTTCACAGGAAGCGGAAAACGGGCACCTGTTCACAGGAAGCGGAAAACGGGCACCTGTTCACAGGGTCTAAGGAGTGAAGTTAGGCCGCGACCCCTCGGCAGGCCCCGGGCGTCTGGCATTTCGCGGCCTCGACTCAGGACCCGCTTGGGACGCAGGGTCCAGCCGAGGGGATGGGAAGGGAGGTCTTGGGGGCGGATGCTCTGGCCTTTGCCTCGTTTTCACCGGAACCATTCTCCTCCCCATTCTTTAAACTTGATGTTTTCGAAGACCGTATAAGCCCCTTTACAAAGGCAATTTCAGATCCCCCTGGCCATCAGGTTGCCCTTCCTCAGCCCCTTCCATGAGGGCATTCCCGGACTCTACTCTGCAGCAGGGAGCTGATTCTGTTAAGAAATCAAGACCTAGATATGAGGGCTCCCCTAGCGGTCCAGTGGTTAGGACTCTGCGCTTCCACTGCAGGGCACACAGGTTGGCTCCCTGGTCTGGGAGCTAAGATCCACCCATTCCACCCTGCAAAAAAAAAAAAAAAACACAAAAAACAAAACACAATACAATTCCCCGCCCCCCACCCCAACCCTAGGTCAATCTAGGCAATTCTAAATTTTAAAATACAGGTATCAAATGCTTGGCATGTTTATAATTAAATCAGAGGAGCATTTTGACTTCCAAAAATTGTCTTTGTATGAGAAGATACTCACTCTCAGGGTCAAGAAATATTCAGTCTGTCACCAGTTAAAATGTGTGGTTTGTTTGTTTGTTTTTAAGAATGACCCAAAAGAGAGAATGAAAATAACCAAAACACAAATTAAAAAAAATAGACTTTATTATTCTACTGTTGAAATCCATAGTTGTTTGAAGTTCAAGTATTAATTGATGAGAGGAAATTTTCTATTCCATACACAGAAATTCAAGTGTTTTGGAGAACATGGTCTATGCATGAAGAAAATTTATTCGCTCTTTCTTGATTTTATTCCTTTTAAAATCAGTCACTAAAATACACCCAATTGCTTATAATCAATTTTGATTAAAAAATATTCTGGCTACTTCACTCCTATTAGAATGGCTGTCATCAAAAAGACAAGAGATAACAATGATGGAGAGGATATGGAGAGAAGGGGACCCTGCCTCGCTGTTGGTGGGAGGGTAAATTGGTGCAACCATTATGGAGAACAATATGGAGATTCCTTAAAAAAATTAAGAATAGAGCCACCACATGATGCAGCAATTCCATTCTTGGCCACATACCCAGAAGAAACAAGAAATTAACTCAAAAAGATATCTGCACCCTGTGTTCATAGAGGCACCACTTACAACAGCCAAAACATGGAAACAAGTGTCTATGGCATATGAATGGATAAATAAGTTGTGGTGCACATGTATATACAATAGAATATTATTCAGCCATTAAAAAAAAAAAAACCCGAGGAAATCCTGCCATTAGCAGCAACATGGATGGACCCTGAGGGCATTACGCTATGTCAAATAAATCACACAGAGAAAGGTGAATGAATACTGGATGACCCCAGTTAATACACCTAAAACAAAATACAAAAAAAAAGAAAAATTCCCAAACACATAGGAAAAAAGATTAGACTTGTTGCAAGAGGCAGGGGCTGGAGGGAGGGAAATCAGAGGAGGGTGGTCGGGAAGCTCAAGGTTCTACTTATGGAAAAAAGAGTGCTGGGATGTGATGCACAAAGTGATAGCTATAGTTAATACTGCTGTGTGGTGCACAGGAAAGGCGTTAAGAGAGCAGATTCTAAGAGTTCTCGTCACAAGGAAAATAATTTTTTTTCTTTGCTTTTCTTTATGTTGTGTCTCTGTGAGATGATGCATGCTGACTAAGCTTCCTGTGGTCATCATTCACAGTACGTGTAGGTCAGACCGTTATGTTATATGCTTTAAAGTTATACAGGGATATACGTCAATTATATTGCAGTAAACTGGAAAAAAAGTCTGCCTAAAAACATAGGCAGTTTAGTTGAGTTGTACCTGTTTTTCAACTTTGACCACCCGGCCGAGCATACTGAGGTCATCTGCGGCCTCGTGTTCTGCGGTTATTTTCTCTCTGCTCTTCTTGTCTGACGTGATTTGTCCTTTTCCAAGAATTTGATCCACACTATCAGAAAGAGAGATCCGGTTATGAGTGTGAAAGGTGGAGGCTGCCCTAAGCCAGAGGAAGTGTTTTGGAAAGAAAAATGCAATTATCTCTGATCTACATAAGAAGAAATAAAATGAACTTCTTCCAGTTGAGGTACTTATTTTCTTCATGTGAAAATTACACAAGGTTAATTTTCTCATTATTCTAGTCCACGATGAAATCTATTATGACTGAGCTTCTGGCAAACTTGTCCTAACCTACAAAGTAATTTGTCTGTTTCCACCTCTGATCAGGCATTTCCTGAATTCAGTCACTTAAAATATAACAAAATCATAATTATTTCATGTTAGTAGAACAGAACATTGGGCTTTATTGACTACGCCAAAGCCTTTGACTGTGTGGATCACAACAAACTGGAAAATTCTGAAAGAGATGGGAATACCAGATCACCTTACCTGCCTCCTGAGAAACCTGGATGCAGGTCAGGAAGCAACAGTTTAGAATCGGACATGAAACAACTCATGGGTTTCAAATCGGGAAAGGAGTACGTCAAGGCTGCATATTGTCACCCTGCTTATTTAACTTATATGCAGAGTACATCATGAGAAACACTGGGCTGGATGAAGCACAAGCTGGAATCAAGATTGCTGGGAGAAATATCAATAACTTCAGATATACAGATGACACCACCCTTATGGGAGAAAGTGAAGAAGAACTAAAGAGCCTCCTGATGAAAGTGAAAGAGAAGAGTGAAAAAGTTGGCTTAAAACTCAACATTCAAAAAACTAAGATCATGGAATACAGTCCCAACAATTCATGGCAAGTAGATGGGGAAACAATGGAAACAGTGAGAGACTTTATTTTTTGGGCTCCACGATCACTGCAGGTGGTGACTGCAGCCATGAAACTGAAAGACACTTGCTTCTTGGGAGAAAAGCTATGACCAACCTAGACAGCATATTAAAAAGCAGAGACATTACTTTTCCAACAAAGGTCCATTTGTCAAAGGTATGGTTTTTCCAGTAGTCATGTATGGATGTGAGAGCTGAACTATAAGGAAAGCTGAGTACCAAAGAATTAATGCTTTTGAACTGTGATATTGGAGAAGACTCTTGAGAGTCCCTTCGACTGCAAGGAGAGCAAACCAGTCCATCCTAAAGGAAATCAGTCCTGAATATTCATTGGAAGGACTAATGTTGAAGCTGAAGCTCCAATACTTTGGTCATCTGATGTAAAGAACTGACTCATTGGAAAAGACCCTGATGCTGGGAAAGATTGAAGGCAGGAGGAAAAAGGGATGACAGAGGATGAGATGGTTGGATGGCATCACCAGCTCAATGGACATGAGTTTGAGTAAGCCGGGAGTTGGTGATGGACAGGGAGGCCTGGCGTGCTGCAGTCCATAGGGTCACAAAGAGTTGGATACGACTAAGCGACTGAACTGAACTGAGTAGAACAGGTCATTTAAGTGAACATTTATTATATATCTGATATGTGGAGATGAGAGAGCTCCATCCTGGGGATTCTAGTTGAAGAGTATATATACACCACGTAAGTGAGAAACTCCAGATTAGCTCTGCAAATTCTGTAGCGGTTGAACTTTATAGAAACATTGGGAGGCAACTATACTCAATATTTTGTAACAACCTATAAGGGAAAAGAGGCTTCCCAGATGGTGCCAGTAGTAAAAACTGTCTGCCAATGCAGGAGATGTAAGAGATGTGGGTTCGATCCCCTGGGTCAGGAAGATCCCCCAGAGGAGAGCATGACAACCCACTCCAGTATTCTTGTCTGGAGAATCCCATGGACAGAGGAGCCTGGTGGGCTATGGTCCATAAGGTCATAAAGAGTTGGATATGCCTGAAATGACTTAGCACACATGCATAAAGGAAAAGAATCTGAAAACAGTAGACGTATATGCATGTATAAGTGAATCACTGTGCGGCACACCCGGAACTAATGCAACATGGTAAATTAAGTATATTTCAATAAAAACAAACAATAAAAAAAATTGAGCAAACATATGTTAAGTGGAAACGCTGCTGTTTGTAATGCTTTGGCAGTCTCTCCTGGTCAGCTGATTTATGGAAGGTATCAATTTTAAGTTTAAAGATATTTCACATTCAAAAACATTAATTCCTTCACCCTCAGATAAATAAAACTTCACCAGAAAACCATAAATAATCATAGAAATAAATAACAGGATCCTAATTTACATTCAACCTTTGCTTTAAATGATTTATGGATGCCATTTATATAAACTATTTCTACAATTGCAATATGGAATTTAAAGTGCAGATTTGACAGTGTATTTTAACTAGTGACCCTATGCCTATGAAGAAAAATAAAACAAATTATATTTGTAATAAAAAAACAAAAATTAAAACTTAAAAAGTTAGGAAGAAAAAAATAAAAACAGCCTGGATGGAAGGGCAGTTTGGGGAAGAATGGATACATGTATATGTATGGCTGAGTTCCTCTGCTCTCCACTTGAAACTGTGACAACATTGTTAACTGTTTATACTCCAACATAAAATAAAAAGTTAAAAAATTAAAAAAAAATAGAACAAAGCAAGCAAGAAAACAAACAAAAAACCCACTGGGAGTCCTAGTAAAGACTTCGAAGACCTTGGCCACTTGGGCAGAGGTTGTAAGAGGATCACAGGTGAGTTAAAACAATTTCCAAGGAGACTTAGTCAGTCTATGTTGGAATTAATTTCTTCCTTTTTGTGTGTTTTAGAGCTGAATTATCAGGAATACTGACTCTACTTTCCAGCTTACTCTGTGCGCACAAAAGTACAGGCCACCATGATGTTTAATCTACTCCAATGCAAGCTCCACCAGGACTGGCTTATCTGTTCATCTCTGGGTGTCCAGGGTGCCCGGTACATTAATGAATAAATGAAAAACTTGTTATTTTCATAACTGAGGTTTTAGAAGCCAACAGGTGTTTTACTGAGGGCCTAGTATACGCCTCACACTGTGCTAAGTATGCCATGTGTATGAACACGTGTTGAAGACTCAGTCCCTGTGTTTTAAGAACTCTTCAATTACCAGGCTGGTATGAAGCAAGACAAACTGAACTGACTAAATATTTTGGCTTCAAGATAACACAATCAAGCACACGTTTAGAGTAACATACTCATTTCTTCCAGCCACTCGAGAGGATGCTCACTGGAAAGATGGTGTGTATCCAGCCTGTTGCAGAACAGGGATGAAGGGACGGGCCCAGGCTTGGTTCAGGGCCAGGGGAACAGACGTGCCCCCAGGAAAAAATGCAGGAGCCAGCCCTGCTCTGAGAACCTCAGGTTCTCTGCCTGGACTCTTGAGTGCAGGATCCCAGCGTGAGGGGCATGATGGCACCCTGCAGGGGCCTCTGCATGCCACACGGGATCAGAGGAGGGAGAGGTCTGTCTTTGTAGGCTGGACGGTGGGTCAGGCTTAAGAAGGAGAAAGACTAGCTTATTTCTGAAGGATACATAGGATTCAGGCAATAGCAAAATGACATCAGCAGCCACCTGGACCGTTGCACAAGCACGCAGGCCCCCGCTTTAACTCACGCAGTCCCACAATGGGCGTCTGCGGCCACCGCCAACACCCCCATTTCCACAGATGAGACACTAGACACTACCCATACTTAATGGTTTTTAGTGCCTGATTTATATTTAAATAGAGTCTATGTTTTAACACAGAAGTCCGGTTGTCCACCAAGAACGAGTCAGAAACAAGGAATTCAAGAATCTTGGCTACTATGGAGAGGTGACTCCAGATACTTTCTGCACCTGCCCCCTTAGAACGAGTCAGAAAGAAGAAATTCAGGAATCTTGGCTACTATGGAGAGGTGACCCCAGACATTTTCTGTGCCTGCCCCCTTAGAACACGTGACCTTCCAGGTGCTCACCGTGTCTGCAGGCTTTTAATCCTACACAGCATGTCCAGGTGACCAGCGGAGTACTGTTCGATGACATCTTTTACATCGTATGGGCGCAGTGTTTCCTTAAACTTCCGTTTTGCAACATGAAACTTCATAATTCTGTAAGAGCAACATATTACATATTAATCTTCGTAACTTCACTAAAAGAAGTTACCCAAACAGCTCACTAGTATACAGAGGAAATGGTAGGGGAAGAAAGTCATGCATGAAGTTATTTTAGGTTCTTGCACCTGCAGAAATGTAACAGGAAAGCCTGAGGTTATGTGAACTATCTCCTGTGAAGCACACCCTGAGGGTAGAAAGTGAAGTGAAGTCGCTCAGTCGTGTCCGACTCTTTGTGACCCCATGGACTGCAGCCTACCAGGTTCCTCCTTCCATGGGATTTTCCAGGCAAGAATACTGGAGTGGGTTGCCAGAAGGTAGAAAAACACATTACAAAACAATAGTTGTTTAGTCGCTAAGTCACGTTCAACTCTTTGGACTGCAGCCCTTCAGGCTCCTCTGTCCATGGGAGTCTCCAGGCAAGAATACTGGCGTGGGTTGCCATCTCCTCCTCCAGGGGATCTTCCCAACCGAGAGACTGAACCTGTGTCTCCTGCACTGGCAGGCGGATTCTTTACCACTGAGCCACCAGGGAAACCCACTACAAAAGAGACTAAATATTAATACTAATTCTTACACCTTTTTAAAGTCCACTGAAACCCTGAATAAAAATCAAAAGTCAAAATGCAATTCTACCCTTCTCATGTGACAATGCTCGCCCCCGCCAGTGGTCCAAGACATAGGGTGGTGTTAACCACTGTATAAAATATAAATGTTGTCAAAATGGTCTTTTATATAGGTATATGCATTTTGGAGATGCAGATATGCCACAAAACTCAATTCTCTCTAAGGAAATGTATGCTTGTATAGAAATTTATGAAAATTGGCTTCATAAATTATTTCTGCAGAATACTGCTCAATTAGCTACCTAAGTTCTTTATGTTTCAAACATAACACACTCATCACCTAATCTGGATGTCTAGACTTTTCAGAATCAGAAGTCTTTTTAATTACAATACCCTACCCCCCAACATGGACTCATGTTTTAAAACAATATTTCATCAAGACATTTCATGATGCCCTGAATAGCTAAGCTGCCTAAGATAACCAGTTGCTACAACAACTTGATATAATTCCTGGAGAAAGCAGAGAAGCATAGCATTTTATTGCATCTGTGCAGCCTTACTGCAGGTATATGTATAACTGGTTGGTGTTTATTCAACTATTAATTGGCTCATAGACTCCTATTATCGCACTCATGGGTCCCTGGCTGGGAATCAGTCAACTAGGTTCTCTGAACCGAAAGGTATTGCTCCTTGGTGGAAAGTGGGATGATTGGTAAGAAATGCAGAGTTTAAATGGAAAATTGCCTATCCTAAGTGACAGCTGATTGCAATGAATCCAAGTTGTCTTACTGGTTATTAAGCCCCAAACTCAATCCTATAATTTACTATTGAATTCATATTGACTGTATTCTAATCACTGCTGAATCATTTCTTTTTCTTTCTTTCCCCCCTTTTTCTTGCCTGCACCATTTGACTTGCAGGATCTTAGTTCTCTGACCAGAGATTGAACCAATACCTACTGCAGTGGAGGTGGGGACTCCTAACCATGGATAGCCAGGGCATTTCCAAATCATTCCTGAATCACTTGTTCTTAATATTCTTACCCTCTTCCTCAACCACATTGGTTTTCCTTGGCCTCCTGAGTAAACATCACCCTCCTTAGCACATCCTATAAGACTGTTGATGGCCTGGCTTCTGTGTACCTCTCTCCTCCTCATTCTTGTCCACTTCCTCCTTGGAACTTGCGGGACCACAGACACACCACTCAATTGCATACCACAATTGTCTGTGTATGCTCTTTCCTCTTCCTGAAATCCTACAAGATCGTTAAGACTCAGTTCTGACGCCAGTTTTAATAGAAACTTCTGCCATTCTTTCAAAGTAGTCACTGGTCTATTAACCTTTATTAATAAATTCTTGAAATAGAACTGCTTCTGTAATTATTTGCTTATATATCTGCCTCCACCAGGCCATATGAGGTCCCTGAATGCAGGGAGGAATTGTTTGTCTGGAGGCTCCGATGGCAGCTCCCTGGTGAGGGGAGGGGGTCAAGGGGTGGGGGGCGAGCACCCACCTCCCCTCTCCAGACACTCATCCCTTGCCCTCATTCATCTGCCTGCAGGGCCATGCCAGCCCTTCTGGGTTCTCGAGGAGATTCGCTGATGGCAGAGGCTGTTTTCCATCCCAGCATCTCAAACGATCCCTGACAAGGATCAGAGATGACTGGGGACCAGCTCCTACCTAGTTGTACAAAGCTGTTTATGCTGTTCTGTGACAGGGAACACTCCTGAGATCTTCTGAATAAAACAGATCTGAGTTCTTCAAGGCACATTTCAGGCAAAGCTTAAGCCATTGACTCTGTTTCATGAATACAAAAAAAACTTGCTAAAGTAAAATAGATGTTTATTCATTAATAATTAGGGCTCTGATTCAGCAAGGAATTCTTTAAATAGAACTGCTCCTGAAAATCATGAAAATATAATATTCTTTTCCCTTAAATTACTAATATAATTAGGATTTCAGAGAACAATTAAATCACAAGTAATAAGGTATCATTATGTAGAAGGAGAAAGGAAAAAAACAGTGAAAGTAAGGAGCAAATGACACAATCATTACCCAGTAAGTCCCGAATGTAGAGAGAGAGCTAATAGCAAAATGAAACTGTCCAGGGTAAGGATGGGGAGAGCCTGGTGGCTGAATGAAATTTATATATCATAGGACCATGAGGAAAACAGGGATGAACACATGTGGTTAAAGTCTGAATAGAGCAAAACCTTAGTTTTCTGTCCGTAGGAGATGGCTACAGATGCGTGTAAAGCTCCCGAGTGCCAGGCTTGCTCCCCAGGGATGCGGATGGGAGGCGCGCTCTCTGGAAGTCATGGCCATCAGGTGATGGCTCCTTCTGAGCGAAGACCCTGGTCGTGCGGGTGGGTGATCTGAGATGTTTACACCATCGAGGTACCTCGGCTTCGTTCCCTCCACCCCATCCCTTCTCTCTTGTCCCAGGGACTGGACTTGATTTGCATGGGTGAAATCAGAAGGAAGAGAGTGGAAAACCTGGGAGACTGAGCTAAGCCCCTCGCCTCCCTGGCGACCCCAGGACAACGCAGATGGCTTCTGTCTCTACCACGTCAGGAGCTGGACCCGAGGTCCCAGGGTTCCCACCTCCTGGACGTGGAGCTGGACGGTGGGATGTGAAGTTCTCACCCTCCCCATCCTCACACGGGTGACTCTCCCACCGCTGTGCCCTTGCAGTACGACTGGCCCTGCACTAAGCCCTCTACCTCCCTGATGTCGCATGAAACCCTAAGAATTCTCCACATTTCATATTTGGGTCCAGTGAAGGCTCAGGAGGTTGGGGAAGCCATCCCAGGTCACAGAAGCAGTACCAGGTAGAGTTTGTGGGAACCCAGGCCGGAGCATTTACTGCCCCGCTAAGCAGGAGCCACTGGGCCGGGCCAGGCAGGCACACTTGTACAGGCTCAGGAGAACGTCTGGCGGTCCAGTCACTGGACATTCTCCTGCATCCTCTGTGTGTCCGCTGACACTCTCACAAGTAAACTAGAGGCCACGTTGTCTTGTCATCTCACCACCAGCTGTGTCTTCTTGGGGGTCCAATTCACTCTGCCCTTGAACTGACTCCCTTCACTCTCTCAGAGGGCCCCTCCCAGAAATGAGGCCATGTCCAGTGTGGGTTCCCTTATCCCTAATTATGGCTTTTCCAGCACTCATTACAGATGTGAGAGTTGGGCCACAAAGAAGGCTGAGCACTGAAGAACTGATGTTTTCAAATTGTGGTGCTGGAGAAGCCTCTTGAGAGTTCCTTGGACAGCAAGGAGATCAAACCAGCCAATCCTAAAGGAAATCAACCCTGAATGTTCATTGGAAGGACTGATGCTGAAGCTCCAATACTTTGTCCACCTGATGCAAAGAGCCGACTCATTGGAAAAGACTGATGCTGGGAAAGATTGAGGGCAGGAGGAGAAGGGGACGACAGAGGATGAAATGGTTGGATGGCATCACCGATTCAATGGATGTGAGTTTGAGCAAACTCCAGGAGATGGTGAAGGACAGGGAAGCCTGGCATGCTGCAGTCCATGGGGTCGCAAAGAGTCAGACACTGCTGAGCGACTAAACAACAACAACAAAAGAAGAAGTTTAATATGATCTATGAATTGCCCGATAGGAAGGAGGGTTTGAGCAACCATTCTAGAGTGAAATTAGAACCTTTATAATGCATTAAATGATTAAGATAACAGTACTGCCAGACAGTACTCTGTAGTATAACCTATGAGATGGGGACTCTAGTCAGCTCCATTTTGCAGATAAGCAAGCTGAGGCCTGAAGAAGTGAAGTGACTTGCCTCAAGTTCAACAGCATGCCAGTGTGGAATCTGAACCAGTCGCTCCAGCGCTGAGCTCTTAATCACAATGTTTTACTCTTGTCTTAGTATTAAGATATTAATATTTTAACACAAAATAACAGCGGCAGAAACGACACTTTACATGAACTGCCTCTTTTCACTCTCATGCCTAGCACGTAGCAGGCACGGGATAAAATTTTGCCACGTGCATACCTTGTTCTTTCCGGTGTTGCTGAAAGGGCCTTTGGAGCAGGACAAAAGATGGGCCGGTAGGTTACAGTCTCACTGCACTCTGGGGGCTAACACTGCAGCAAACAGCAAAAGACCCTGAAGCTAGCATCCTCACTGCTGGGGGTGCCTGAGCGGGCCAGGAGTCCAGACGGAAGTTCCTCTTGCAGCCGACATGCCCCGGCATGACCACGAGAGGGAGCAAGAGATTCACCACAAACCTGAACTGGCCCCTGGCTTGAAAAGGGAAGAAATCTGCTCAAGCAGTTCTCTGAGCACGAAGAAATTGCTGCAGCAAGTTACACTCCGAGCGGAGTATAGCTATATATACACACACAACACATGTGCACTTAGAAGGAAGCGGAGGTGCATTTGTTGTGATGCCATGAGTCACAGAATCT